AGGGGGAGAGGAGAGAGGGGAGAGGGCATCCAGCCCACAACCTGGCACTCCCAACTGAACGGGACCGAACTGGCAACCTTGTGGTACATGGGACGATGCCCAGCCAACTGAACCACACCAGCCAGGGCTAAAATAGATTCTTAAAAGGTACACTGGTGCCACCTTTTGGTAAGACTAAAAATTTACACAAATTACAACCTACGATTACATTTTAATTTCAGAGACCTTGTTAGAGACACAACTGTTTAATTCAAACATTACATGAATATATTTAAAACTGCCTTGCTTCCTAATACATCTCTGATTTTTAATAATCAACTGCATTTAAAAAAATCTATTAAAGGCTGGGATAAAGGATAATACAAATAGAATTCTGAACTAACACCTCTCATACTCTGTAAGAACAGTATTAACGTCAAAGATGACTGACAGAAATCCCAAAATTTCTCAACCACCACAAAATTTATTAAGTTTTGGATTAGGCTTAGTCAACCTCAGCATTACTGACATTTTGAGCTGGGCAATTCTTTGTTGTGGGGGGGCTATCCTGTTTATCAGCAAAGTGATCCTCTACCCACAAGATGCCAGTAGCAACCTTCCCGCCACCCAACCCAGTCTGACGACCAAAAATGTCTCCACATTGCCAAATGGCCCCATGGTGAGGGGGACCACCCTTGTGATGGTTAATATTATGTCAACATGACTGGGCCACAGGGTGCCCAGATAGTTGGTGGAACAGTATCCTGGCTGCCTGGGAAGGCGTGTTTTTGGATGAGATTAACATTTGAATCAGTGGACAAAGCAGACTGCCCTCTCTAAAGTGAGTGGCCCTAATCCAGTAAACTGAAGGCCTGAACAGAATAAAAAGGCTGACACTTCTTAGAGTAAGGCAGCGATTTTCAACCAATGTGCTGCAAGAATTTTTAAAACATGCAATACCTGACTAGTCAGGAGCACTGACCTCTTCTCCTTTAAATTGTCAAATAAAAAATGACAACAGCTGCCCTGGCCTGGTAGCTCAGTTGGTTAGTGTCATCTGGATACGTCAAGGTTGCGGGTTCGATCCTGGGTCGGGGCACATACAAGAAGTAACAAATGAAAGCATAAATAATAGGAACAATAAAGCCATGTTTCTCTCTCTCCCTTCTAAGCCAATAATTTTTTTAAAAAAGACAACAGCTAACTTAATAGCCATCTAGTGTGAATGAATAAAAATTATACTTTTTTTTGGTCAGATCAGCAAAAAGTATATTTTTTGGTGTTACGCATAATTTTAGTAATTGGTTTGTGTGTGCCATAAAATGAAAAAGGTTGAAAATTGCTGAAGTAAGGGGATCTTCTCCTGAGACTCTTAGCTGGGACATTGGTCTTTTCCTGCCTTTGTGGGCCTAATTTTGCACTGAAACTGCACCATCAGCTTTCCTGGGTCTCCAGCTTGCCAAATGTAGATCTCGGGACTTCTTAGCCTCTACGTTTGGGTGAGCCAATTCCGTAAAATCAGTCTTTCTCAATATGTGTCAACTTTACTGGACCATGCGATATACACACACATACACATTCACTCACTTGCATCCTGTTGGGCTGTTTCTCTGAAGAACCTAATGAATCCTGGCTGAGAACCACTGTTGTCGATTATGTTACTGGAGGAGAAACAGTAGGGAGTAAATAGGGAAGAAAGAAGCAAAGCAAGAAACTTCTGGGAAATGCTTAGATATTACCTTTCTTTCCAGAGATTGGTACTTGGATTGTGGTTTATAAGAACTGGGCTCATTGATACATTTTTAAAAAAAACATGTTTTTATTGATTTTTTTAGACAGGGAGAGGGATAGAAATATTGATTGGCTGGGCTGCCTCCTGCACAGCTCCCACCAGGGACTGAGGCTGCAACCCAGGCATGTGCCCAGACCCGGAATCAAATCGGTGACCTCTGGGTTCATGGGCTGATGCTCAACCACTGAGCCACACCGTCTGGGCATCACTGATACATTTTTGTATCACACATCCAAAATCTTTCCTGGCACAGAGACTACTTACCTCAACACTAAGAAGACATTTGGAAGACACTACTGTAAAAGAAGAACACATTCTATAAGCTGAGCTAAAAAAAGATTATATTTATGATTGAGTCACATTAATTTATTTGTCATGATAAAATACATGAAACCCACTGTTTTCATTCCATACAAAACTTTCTAAGTTTCTGAAGCAAATCACAGCACATTAGGTGGAAGAGTTCAATCATACAATGTATTATTGATGTCCTTCTCCTGCATTTTGTTATGTGTTACTTGTATTTGAAGATTTCTTCCATGGGACTTTTTACTTGTACAAGTTTTTGAAATCCAAGTTTCTGTTAAAGTATTTTAAGCTGATATCTAAGCTAATTTAATAACTTTATTTGGCACAAAATAGAAGAGTAGATGACAGTTAATGTCAACTGCACTGGAGCAGTATCTACTAAGTAATCAAGTGCACAGATACATCCTGAAGCACAGTGGATTCTTCAAGGTCTTGAAGACAACAATCACAGTGTGTGATTCCTTGTATTTAAGACATCAGGTTTGGGGATTGTGTAATCTCACCAGTTTTCAAAAAGTCCAACCATACAAACACAGAAGTACAGCAGAGAATAATCATTTACAGATTTCACTCTATGAATTTAAAACTTAATTCTAATAAAATACCACAGAACTACATTGAGTTTAAAACATACAAAGTCACAAGTTACATTATGAAAACTTCCCACGTTGCATACTCTTACCTCAATTACTACAAAAAATTGATACTTATCAATGATCTCCGTTACAACATCAAGAATATATATGCCTGTGCAAATAGGCACGAGTGGAATTATACATTTTCAGGTTCTTTTTCCATGATTACAATGATTTCCTTCAGTTTTAAATGAAGCCTTTCCCATACTATTTCAATAGAACATAATGAATTATTGTTATATCCCCACTCCATTTCTTGTCCCCATCTAGTTTTTAGATGAATTACATCAAAGAAATAAAAATATTTCCACCATTTTCTTCTTCCTTTTCCTGGGTGTAAAAACAATAGATTTGAAAGAACTTTCAGTACAGCTGCAATTAGCAAGGCTTTATTCCCCAAAATGCAAAAGAACTAATATCCTTCTTGGTAAAGTCTAAAGAAAAATACTAACAATTACACTATAGTAGAAGAGGAATTCTGGTAACAATATTGTTTCTAGAGTATTTGTAAAAAAATAAAAATAGGGATATTGTCAACTAATTATTGAGTATTAAATTGTATATGACTGCTTCTAAGATGTTCTAGAATGTATGGGTTGGAATACTGAAGTTAACAGATTTAGTTATAGAACACGTAGTTTTCTTTATATGATTGGTTTTTATCAATAATACTAAGAGCTTAACACAATTTTAATACAAATCCTCACAGCACCCCTGTGAGGTAGTGATTGCTTATATCTACTTTACAGATGGGAAATCAGAAAATTAGAGCAAGAAATAATAATCTCAAGAGATACAATATAAATCAAGAAATTTTGGTTTTCTTATAAGGCAAATTGCACTTATCAAATACTGAGTTCTGACAATATGCTAATAAGGACAAATACTGAAATAGTCTGTTTTTCTCCAGGAAATAGCTATGTGTAGTATCTGGAAAGAAGGGAAAAATTTTAAGTTAATCCAAAGGGAAAATGTCTGGTATTTGCCTAAGGTGCATATAGCATTTCCAGTTCTTAGAGTTTGGTAATAATTATGCAAACCATTCTGTATGGCTAAGATTATTAGCTCCATTTTGCAGATGATTAGTCAAAATTAAGGGTTTAGCTGGAAGAACTTTTTTATACGAAGTAGATTTTCTTAGTGAGAAATCATATCTTAAAAAAATACACTCAGGGCACAGTGTTAGTCGTAACAATTATTTTAAAAATATGCCTGTTGAACAAATGAAAACAAAATGGGTCAGTGCCCACACCACTATTCAATGGTTCTCCAGAACCCAACTTTGGGAATTTTTTTCTATAAAATGGAGTTAACATTTTTTCCACTTCCTAAAACAGAGCATATCATGAAAACTAAGGAAAGAGCACTTGCTTTGAATTCCTAATATTAAGAGCAACTATATAAGAATAAAAATATAGTTAACCACTATTTTCTCAACACCCAACAAATGTAAATATACTTCTGCTTCAAGTTAATGTTGTCTATCATGGCCAATCAGCCACAAGCAAACTCTTACCATTTCCCCAGACCCTGCCCTGAACTGCTGCCCTACCCACACCACATCTCATATGCACCCCTAACCACGCCCTTTATATACAAACTTCTTTGTCAAGGACCAATGACTGAATAAGTAGTAAAGAATAAAGAAAAGTCAGAAAATTATGAGAAACAATAAAAATGAGAAAAATAAAATTTTACTTAAAGATGGCTAGGGAATATACCCTGAATAGCCTAAAAGATATGAAAATCAATGTTAATATTTGTGTTCATCCTATAAGATGAAATGTTTGAAGGCAGGAGGAGTTAGAGTAACTGCTTAAATGATTTAAGTTTAAGATTAGATCAAGTTCTGACCCCAAAGAGCAACATATTTATTTTAACCACTTCCAATACAATTGATCCTCTATCCATAGCTAGTTAAGATTTTGATCTCGGCATATATCAATCTTGACCCCAGGAGGCCTTACTCACTTGTCTAAAGGCAGAAACTCGGCCGCTTTAAACAATGACCAATGGTTTTCTTCGTTTAACCCTCAACAAAAACTTACCACACTTCATAATTCAGCTAACCTCAATTTACCTAGAAAAAACCTTTGCACCCTTAGAATGAGCTGGATTACTCTTTGAGCTCTCTGCTGACGGAACTCTGATGCTGTCTAAGAGCTCTGAAGTTGTCAGGAAATGTCCTCAGAGTGTGCGGTCACGAAGGAGCTTAGAGAGTTTTTGTATGCAGTTAAATTCTAAGCCTCACAAACTAAGATTACCAGATTTATTTACATTTCTGTAAGGCTTAGTATTTAACAGCACAGCATACAAAAAAGATGAGGCTGTTTTGAAGCCTCTCTCTTTTATTTATTCTTGACTATCTAATATTAGATATTTAAACATTTCAGGTACAATTTAGATCTATCCTGTGTGATGAGGTTTGATCAGCTATTTTCCAGCTACAGAGAGCAGGAGAATCTATCATTTAGTACATCAATTTTAATTTTTCTGGGGTTTTAAAGTTACATCACTATAAAAGTGAGTTAAGAGTTTATTCATGGAGAAAAATCTATCACATATTTTACACACAGTTCTAGGACACTGACTCTATCTACTTTGCTGGTTTTATGGACCAGAAAAAAGTGAAAACTGTCACTGAAAAACTATTTTTTCAAGTAATTGTTAGAAAATTAATTTTAATTCAGGCAGTCTAGAAAACCCTCTGACACTGAGGGTATAAAGATAATATGTATTTTACCATTTTCCTTTTTAAACTCATGGAAACCTCTGGTCATAGAAAAAAAATCTCAATTTTTTCTTAAGGTCTTTAAGATAATATTAAAGATTAGGGTGTTAGTTAATACAGATGTATCTGAATCTCTGTCTCGTATGCTCATCTGTGTGTATGTACCTTACTGTTATTCTCTTCAGGATTTTTTATGCCTGACTCTTCTCCTTTACTCTCTTTTTAATTGACATATTTTTATTAAAAATGAGGTATGGCCTAGTCGACATGGCTCAGGGGTTGAGCATCAACCTAGGACCCAGGAGACTGTGGCTGGATTCCTGGTCAGGGCACATGCAGGGTTGTGGGCTTGATCCCCAGTAGGGGGCGTGCAGGAGGCAGCCGATCAATGACTTGCTCATCACTGATGTTTCTCTCTCCCTCTCCCTCCCTCTCTCTGAAATCAATAAAAATGTACTTTTTTTTTAAATGAGGTACGCTCACAATGTTAAAAGGTAAATAAAAGCCATGTAAAATGTTGCAGAGCTAGTAAGTAAAACATAATTTTAAAACTATTCATGATTTGGTATAGCTGTGCTTAAAACAATTTTTTTATACATTATAACATAGTTATGCATTAAAATAACTACTAATTTCCTATATGGCAGAAAATATTTTAAAATAATTCTCATAGGGGCTTATTCATGTGAAACAGCCAAAAGTGCCAGTCTAGAATATTCTTTAAAAAATATTTCATTTACTTCATATTAATTTGATTTTACTGATTCTACAACCTGGAAAAACTTAAAATTCTGTAAGTACTTATTTAATCTAAAAGTCCATATTACTACATTGATTTCTGATTTCTAAATTGTGAATTTATAAAAAGTTTACAGCCCTAGCTGAAGGTTATTTTAATAGCCATGAATTAATATATTACAATAAGGAGACAATATATACAACATTAAAACTATGGATAAATGGTAAAGAAAAAAGTCAATATGGGATGGGGTAGAATGGGTCATTGGGGAGAAAAAGGGTCATCTGTAATATTTTTAACAAACAAAAAGTCAATAGAACTTGGAAAATAATTTATGAATAAAAAATGCATGTGAATTTTGTCAGAACTGACATAAAAATTCTGGAGAAACTGCTACTCAACTAGGATAGTGTCCACATTTTCTTGTGGGAGCTCTGACTCTAAGGCACAAGATGAGTCTAACTGCTCTTGCGACAAGCGGGAATTTTTCAGGGGGATATCAGACCAGTTGTCACAATAAGGCTGAAACCTCTGGGCTAATGCATTACCAAATCTTTGGTATCGGTTATACCTGTAAGATTTACCTTTGTGTGTATACATGTGTTCCAGCAATTGGCTCTTTCGGAGAAATTTATGACCACAGATGGTACAGGTGATTTTTCTTTTCCTTGAAAAAGAAAAATTACAGTTTAACTCTACTGGCTCTGTGTCTTTGGAGATCAAAGACACTTGACTGATCTGCAAAGGCTCTGCGGTAGCCCGGTTTGAGTGGTCAGGCGGCTGCTCATTCTCCTTGACAATGAAGGAGCTGAGCCTGCGGCATTCAAGAGCCTCACTATTTTCGTGAAGTGGATGCACTTCACCGAGGTCATTACTTTCCAGGATGGAAGCAGGGACACCAAATGGAAGGGATCCAGACACATGGGTATGAAGATGTTGTCTTAGGTTACCACGGGAATCAAAACGTTCTCCACAGTAATGGCATAAGTGAATTTTGATACTACTTTCGGTGAAAGTGGGGCCTGTCATCTCTGATGATGAGTGGCTTTGGGAGATCACAGATTCTGGGTCACATCTCTCCTGCTTGATGGACACTGGAGGCTTTTGGTGTTCCTCCAAGGCCTGGGTGACAGGATGGGCCCTCTGCTGGTCAGCAGTGCCATCATCTAGCCCAATAGCAAGAGAAAGCTGCAACTGGGGGTGGTCACCCTGGACAGCAGCTCTGTTTCCATTGTTATTGGAAGAAGTTTCTTTGACCTCCAGCCCTTGTTTGACAGCTGTTTTCTGGGTTGTTGAGATCTGAATGCCATACAAATTTGAGGACTGCACAGTCTCTGGTGAGAACACTTGATTCATTTCAGTCGCAATGTGAGAAAGGTAGTCAGCGTGAAGAAATCGAATCCCTTCCTCCAAACGACTATGATCCACAATCTGTTTTGGCCCTTTCCCCGTGTACATAATGTGCAACAAATAGCTGAATATGTCAGGTTGGATATCAGTTGGTTGTATTTTTATGCACTCACTGTTAAAAACAAAAAACAAACCCACACAAATGAAACAACCTAGTTGGCCTTTTAGTTAACAGTATATAGTCTCAGGCTAAAGCAATTTTTTCCTAAACTAAGCCATCTGCCTTGATAAAACACAGGAGCAATAGCTTAAACTTTCATTGGATACCAGTTTTACAGCCCAGCAACCAACCTTCAGGTATCCAATCTACTACCTAAAGTTAGGAAAAAGACAGATATTCTCATTAGTTCAACATTTATGCTGTGACTCCTAAGTGATACTAGCTGCCAGGGAGTAGAAAAATCATGAATAAAACAGGTACCCTGCTCTTAAGGAACTTAATCTATTGCATATATAACCTAAAGAACCAAAAACACGGACTCAAATACCCATACACCAATGTTCAGTACAGCATTATTCACATTAGCCAAAAGGTAGAAACCACCCAAATGTCCATCAACAGATGAATGGATAAACACAATGTGGCACATACATACAATGGAATATTATTCAGTAATAAAACAGATGAAGTTCTGATACATGCTACAACATGGATAAACCCTAAAAACATGCCATAAGCAAGATACCAGAGGAAAAGTTTTGTATGATGTCACTGATAGGAAATATCTAGAATAGGCAAATTCATACAGACAGAAAGTAGTTTAGAGGTTACCAGGAGCTTGTCGGAGGAGTGGTGGTGGTGGTGGTGGTAAGCAGTAATATATCTATTACTTAAAAGATATAGTTTCAGGGGTGATGAAAAGTTTTAGAAATAAACAGTGGTGATGGTAGACAACATCATGATGTAATTAATGCCACTGAATTGTACAATTAAAAATGATTAAAATGAAAAATTTTATGTTATATATATTTTATCACAATAAAAATATTTAAAAATTTTAAAAGGGTGCATTGAAATTGGTAATATTAGAATTTAAATTATGCTACCCTTATTTTGTCTTCCAAACTATATTAATATATCTACTCTTTAAGTCACAAATGAATACAGGGATAACTTTGAAAAGTTTTAAAATAAGTCCCAAGCCCATTTTTAACATATGAATCTAGAATTCAGATAATAGACGGAAATAATTGTGCAACAAGAAATCAGAAAACACCTTGAAAAATTAGGATAAAGACAACCTGAGGGAAGTGCTAGATGTCAGAGAACAATGGAATCAGTCAATAGGCTTACAGAAATTTGCGTTACTGGATCAGAAAGCACTAGGTGTCAATATGCTGACAATCCATTTCTTTAGTCCTGGTATCTTGGGATTCCCTCTTGGGCTTCACTCTTAGCTCTGACCCACCCACTTCCACAGTCTGTGGCAGGCATTTTTTATATCAGCACATAGCTCTGTTAACTGAGGATTTCCAGTTGCTCAACAGATAAGACATAGGCTGCCACCTTTCTATCTTCTGGATTTACTTTAGCAAGGTGCCTGGTACCCAACAGGTACCATGAGAGCTGAACCAACTCATAGTTCTTCAGGCAAGACTGATGTGAAGGTAGTGTTTCTAATAGAGTTTCTACATTAACACGGGTCAGAGAAGAAATTCTTTGGCATGGCAGAAAAGGCTACTACCTATTACCTGTCCCTCACTCTAACTTCCTCTCCACTTTGTGCGATACATTCCAATCATTCTGATCTAGCCTGGTTCATAACTGCATGTTTTAATGCATGTTTTTCTCTGCCACCAGTGAATTTTTTTGCATTCCTCTACAACATGTGAAAAACAAGTCCTGATCCTTCAAGGTCCAGGGCCTCTGTAAAATCTGTTCCAACCTTCTCAAAATAGGGCTGCTGACACTCCACTCTACCTTGTGCAACATTTCTATTATAGACTTATCACATTTATTACTAATAACAGCAGCTAACAGCGCAAAGCTCCTGTTCTAAGCACTTTAATATTATTAACTCATTTAATCATCTCAATACCATGGGTGGATCAACTATTCTAGTGTTTTACAGAGAAGGAAACTGAGACAGAGAGAGATCAATTACACTGCAATTATCTTCTTTACATGCATTACTTCTCTATTAGACTATAAATTTCTTGAGGGCAGGGAGTATAACTTTATCTGTTACTAGGGTCTAGTACAGTGCCTGACATGTAAGTGTTCAATCAATAGTTGAATGAATGAACAGTTTAAGAAATATATAATTGAGCCCTGGCCAGATGGCTCAGTTGGTTGGAGCATCATCCCATACACCAAAAGGGTGCAGGTTCGATCCCCAGTTAGGAAGGGTACGGGAGGCAACTAATCGATGTTTCAAAAAATTAAAAATGTATGATGGAGGCTGGGATCCTAAGTATTTCATGTAAGGTCCTTTAAAAAAACACAGACTGTTCTATCACTTTCAGCCTAGGACAGAGTAAAGCTATTCTTCACCAAGAGCTCAAAATCTGAACACCACTTCCCAGCTCTCTCCCTGCATACCTAAATTCAAAAACGCTTTCTGAAAAACTATTTGAACTGTAATATGGAATATACAGTGGGCGGAATTCTGACACTGAAACCTTGCTATGAAAGTGTTACAGAATAGAAATCAACAACTTAGTGATTAAGAGCACATACCTTTAAGAGCACAGATCTACATCTGAGTCTAATTTATAACCCTGGATGGGCAAGTTATGTAACAACTGAGTCTCGACTTCCTTTTCTCTAAAATAGTATGGACAACAGATTTTTACATCGGGTAAATACTTAGTGCTTGGGTATGGAATAAGCCTTCAATAAATTTGAGCTATTATTGTTTTTATTCTTACCTTCCACCATGGATCCTTCACACTGCAATCAATTACTGATATGTAAAAAAGCCACATACATTACAAATTTTTTTCTTATGGTGACCCCATGACAAAGAATCGCCCAAATGATGTTATAATAAGGTACCGATATACCACAATGTTAAAGCTCTTCTGATTTACAAAAGCACATCCTTACCTTGTTTGGTGAATAAATATCATCTTGAAATAGTTAGAAAAAGCAGCAAGTACTGCTCTGTGGGCTTTGAAGTAAACATCTCCAATAGCAACTGTGCAATCACACAGAAAACCAAATTCTCGTTGCATGTTCAGCTGCTGCAGAAGGACAAGGCTATGGCTGGCTGTGTCCATTGTGGCTCTGAGAAAAATGACAATATAAATTTGTGGGGTTTTTTTAAAAACTTGGCTACAGTTTACCCAAACCTACAGAGTAACAAGGACACCTAAATTTATTTAAATGAAATTATTCAACAATTTTCTTTTTTAAATCCTCACCGAGGATATGTTTTTATTGATTTTAGAGAGGGAGGGAGGGACGGAGGGAGGGAGGGAAACATCAATGTGAGACAGAAACATCGATCAGTTGCCTCCCATACAAACCCCGACGAGGATCAAAACCACAACCTAGGTATGTGCACTGATCAGGAATCGAACAGGCAACATTTTGGTATACAGGACGATGTTCCATCCAACTGAGCCACCCGGCCAGGGCAACAATATTCTTTTTTTAAAATTTTATTTTCAATTACACTTTACATTCCATATTATTTTGTATTGCCCTGGCTGAGTAGCTCAGTTGGTTAGTGTGTTGTCCTGATTCACCAAGGTTGGGGGTTGGATCCCCAGTCAGGGCACATACAAGAATCAACCAATGAATGCATAAATAAATGCAACAAATCCATGTTTCTCTCTCCCTCCCTTCCTCTCTAACACACACACACACACACACACACACACTTTGTATTAGTTTCAGCTGTGCAGCAGAGTGCTCAACAATCTTCTACACTATTGATTTCACCCCAAATCTAGCTAACATTAAATCCTTCTAATATGACAATCCATATCAACTATGCTAAAACCATAAATATTTATGGTTTTTTTTCATCTAGTAAGAGGGTAGCCTGGTATGAGTGACACAGGAGCAAAAGGAAGGCCTGTCCTCTTTTATGTATGCAACCACAATGTTTTTAGTCCTCGGTTTTCCTCACCGGAAAAATGAGAATGAGATATTGATCCTTGCCTCAGAGCTAAATGAGGTAAGTTATATGAAAAGTACCTTTTAATTGAAACACTATTCAAATGTTAGCTATAAATGTTAATAACATAAGTGTGTCCTGGCTGGGCTAGAGTTGGCACTGCTCCTTAGGAATCCTCTGTGTGCTTAGGGGACACTGGCCTCCTAACTACCATACAATGTTTGGGAAATATATCAGTCACAGTAAGGTCATGAGCCTTTAAAATAGATGTCAAGCCACATCCCCTGATTTACATGGGGCTTGGGAGCCCCATGGGAGAGAACCTAAACCCTGATTTAACTGGATTCAGACACATATAAGTATGGAGAGTCATGAAGGAAGTAGAATGCAGGATGGGTGCACTGGTCTCGGGGGAAAAATCATGCATGAGGAAGAACCTGCAAAAGAATTCTGGCACAGAAGTCTACTATGAGTATCAGGACATTCAGGAGTGCTGTGGTTCCAGAGAGGTGGGAGGCTGTGCTTCACCACCTTCTCCATCCCAACTGTTCAGAGAACCCTGTTGCTTGAGGGAGAAGGTAGCTGTGGTATAGGGGCATCACTGGGGGGCTGGGAGAACTTCCTCTAAAAAAAAGATCCTAAAAAGAGAATGAAGTTTTCTTTCTAGCCATAGAGTCCAAGGGATATGGAGGACAGTGATTAGTGTGTGGAGTTAGCTGTCTGGACACTGGCAGTAGCTTGAGCAGCAGACAGTTGAGTGATTGATAACATAATAAAAATAGCTAACACTATATAGCTATGTGTCAAGCAATTTTTCACTGATTTAATTCTCAGTACAACTCTATGAGAAAGGGAATACTCAATGAATCTTACATATGAAGAAACTGAACCAGCATAGAGTTAATTTACCCAAGGTCACACTGCCAGTAAGTGGCAGAGCAGGGGACTCAAACTCAGGCACTGGATTCCAGGACTCAAATGTCCTCCCTCTCTACCTCCCAGGGAACATAACACACAAACTGGAGGAGCCAAGAGAACAGGCCAGATTATACAGCAAGGTGCCCCAGGAAGCCTCAGGAATATTTGGAGTAAAATGTTTGCGCTCCTGGGAGAGAAACTAGGGAGCAAGGAGTTAAGGGTCGGGGAAACTGTACCATTTAAACACCTCTTATAGAAATTTTATATCAAAAATATATACCTACATGTATTCCTTTTCCCCTTTTTTAAAATTTTATTTTATTGCTGACAGCATTACAGATGTTTCTCATTTTCTCCCTTTTTGCCCCCCTCTACCCAATCCCCACCCCACCCCAGGCCTTCATTATTTATTATTTTTTTTTAATTTAATCTTCATCTGAGGATATGATTTTTAAAATTTATTTTTAATTGATTTTTTAGAGAGAGAAAGGGGGAAGAGAGAGAGAAGCATCCATGTGAGAAAAAAACATCGATCATTAGTTGCCTCCTGCATGCACCCTAACTAGGGATTGAACCTGCAACCTGGGTATGTGCCCTGACTGGGAATCAAACCAGGACCGTTCAGTGTACAGGACGATGCTCCAACCAATTGAGCCACACTGGCCAGGGCTTCCTCTCATTTTTTAAAAATTGTATTTCCGAAAGACAAATAAGTACAGGGAACAATGTAACATACACCCACCTTGCCACCCCTAAGCACAGAAAGTAAACATTATAAACATGGTAGAGAACCCCTGGCATCTTCCCCTTCATTCTATCTGCCCCCCCACCTTGTCTCCAAAGGTAACCACCATTATGAATTTGGTGTTTATGACTCTCCTATATTGTCACAATATTACAGCATATGTATATATCCCTTAAAAAGGTATGGTACTGTTCTGCATGTTTTAAATTTTTATATAAATACTGTACTTTAGGAATCCCACAACTTGCTTAATTCTACATTCATACATTACTTTAAAAAATCCTTCTTATTCAAACGTAAGTTTCTCCCTTTACTCCCCCAATTAAAAAAATTTAAAAAAACCTCTTACCCTATACATGCTCATTTTAAAAGCCTTTAAGTAGCAGTGAAGAAATAACAAGATGATAAAACCGACAGAGACTTGAGCCTATCTCTAAGAATATAAGCAAAATCCAAATTGTGGGTATTGTTCCAAAAGGCCATTTAACCAAAAGCCACTATTTATTGTATTGACCACATTTCTCTGATTCTAAACCACCACCAATTTATAGGAAGACTTAAAAAAAAAAAAAAGAAAAAGAAAAGCCCTGGCCAGTTTTGCTCAGTGGTTAGAGTGTCGGCCCTCAAATAGAAGGGTCTTGGGTTCGATTCCCAGTCAAGGGTACGTACCTTGGTTGCAGGCTCCATCCCTAGCCCTGACCAGGGTGCATGTGGGAGGCAACCAATGGATGTGTCTCTCACATAGATGTTTCTCTCTCTGTCTTTCTGTCTCTTCCCCTCCCTTTCACTCTTTCCAAAAATCAATGGAAAAAATGTCCTTGGGTGAGGATTAACCAAAAAAAAAGAAAGAAAAAGATTACAGGCTAATGGGGAGATAAAACATAGTAATTATGGCATGAAGTAACAAGTGCCATAGAGCAGTTCAGAGAAGATGTTATGTGAAAGGGAGATAAATAACAGGTCACCCAATGGAAAATAAGCCATTTGAGCTGGATTTAGATGAATAGGCAGAAGGTGAACATAGCATTGCAGGCAGAAAACAGAATGAGTAAAATTACAGGGAGGGGTATAAACATATAGATAACTGGACAATTCAGTTTGGCACAGAAAAAACAAAAGTAAGTGATCCCAGTCAGGGCACAAAAGTAAGTGAATAACAAGAGATGGGGTCAGCTAGCTCCCAGAGGGTACTGAATGTAAACTAAAAGGTATTCCAGCGGCGTCTGAAGTGGAGAACAGTGTAGTCAGTATCTACCTTACAAGTTGTTAAGATGATGCATATAAGCACTTAGAAATAGTGCTCCCATAGTAAATGTTCAATAAATAAAAGTCATCACCACCATTAGGCTTCTGAGTCAAGACTGGTAGGCCTAGTAGAAATACATAAAAAAAGATTAGCAAGGGAAAGGCATGGAGAAATAAAGACCAGGAAGGAGCCTACTGCAATTTCCAAGTAATGGTGCAAGAGAAGGAAAGAATACGAGACACACCAGGCGTAGAACTGACATGACTTGGCAGACTGGATGTGGTCAGCCACAGAGAAGATCAAGTCAAAGGTGCGTCTCAGAATTCCAGCGTGGGTAACTGGGAGGCTTCGTTTACTCCTTCAGGTCATATTTGCAGAGTAACTGCCATGTGCTAGGTGTTGATATAAAGGCAGGGTCTAAGAATGCCACAGAAGAGGCACAGAAACTGGCTTGATGAGACAGGTTTCACTTTGGACACAGTGAGTTCAAGGTGTTCACTTTAGGACATCCGAGTATAAATGCTTAGTGATCAGTGAAGAGACAATATGTTGGTCTGGTGCTCTAGAGAGGGCAGGGCTGGACAGAGAGAAGAGGTCCTCTGAAATGACAAGGATGAAGTCACCAGGAGTGAATGGGACTATTGAGTAAAATAAGAGGAAAAAAAGCCAAGAATAAATCCCTGAACAACAGAGAAAAGACACAATAAGGGAGACAGGAGAAACAAGAAAATACACTGTCACTGGGGGAGGATAAAGGAGGTGAAGGAAAGGTGATAACCTTGGCAAGAAGAGGTAGCAGTGTAGCTACAGAGTAACATGGAAATGAAGCCTGTTACAACAAGCCAAGTGGTGACCAAGAGGTTTCTGGTGACCTCTGAAAACAGTTTGGGAAAACGGCAAGAGCAAAATATCTGAGTGCAAGGTGATGTTGAAAAGTAGTGGCCATAAGGGGTGGTACAAATAAGATGAGACATTGAGGATGCTGCAGATGGAAGACAAGTTTCAGGCTAAAGAGGGGTGGAACCTCTAGAAGCCAGAAGGAATGCAATCAAAAGTATAAGCACAGCCTAGCCGGGCGTGGCTCAGCGGTTGAGCATCGACCTAGGATATAGGCGATCAGGGTTAGGTTCCCGGTCTAGGGCACATGCCCGGGTTGCGGGCTAGGCAGCTGATCAATGACTCTCTCATCACTGATATTTCTATCTCTCTTTCTCCCTCTCCTTTCCTCTCTCTGAAATCCATAAAGATTAAAAAAAAAAAAAAAAGTATAAGCACAAAAGTTAGCCATGGAGAAAAGAGGTATTTCTTTTTCTGACAGTGAAGAGGAAATGGTTCACGGGAGAATTCAAAACTATTCTTTTAGATGGCACCGATTTACAAATTAGAAGTCAGTCTATATGCAGAAGGAAGA